AAAATTACTTTAGAGAGGGATTAATTATAAGGAACTATAAAGCAGTCAGATGAAAAATAAAATAGGAATTTGTATTAACTTCGCAATGATTTTCATAAGCAGAAGCTGCACTTCACTATTAGTGTTTCTTATACCCTTGCAACAATAGTGCACTATGCTCTATCATTAGTAGCAAGGAGTGGATATTTAAAATTGTATTGCTATTGATTACCTAATTATTTTGACAATACATGTTATGTTTGAAAGTAAATTTGAAAATAGATAGATTTAAAGAAAAACATAGGAAAATCATTACATTCTATTTTAAGTTAGTGATTATCTGACATAAACGTCTTTAATGACTGACAGCCAGCTTTTGACAACAATCTGTGGTGATAATTGCCATATACTCAAATATGAAACATAAAAGCGTATTAATTTTTGAAATTCAAGTCTTGAAAACCATAAAAGAGTAATCTTTCATTTAGGGAGTGAGTCATATTTCTTGATGTTTTGTCTGAGCTTTCTGAAAGTTATCAAGAATACTAGAACTTGCTAGAAATGTGTGTTGGAACTCCTTTCTTAGCATAAAATCATGGTATGTTGTTGAATAAAATAATAGTAACCCACATTCACTGAGTTCTTACAATATTCCAGAAACTGTTTTTAAAGTCTTCTTTTTCTTTTTCTTTATGTTTTTGCTTAAGTCATTTATTCTCACTGTACTTTTGGGGGGATGTTATTTTAATTCCCATTTCACATCTGGAAAAGTCAGGTTTCAAACAGACACTCTAGTTGTGGAGTTTAGCTTTCCTCTTATGTCCTAATGCTTGCCCAACATGTGCCAGATTAAAATGATGAAACATTCCTCCTCAGTTGTCCAGTGTATTGTGAAATACCGGCTGTATCAGAGCAACTGCCTTTTATTTTTATGTTATGCCTACTAGGACTCTGAAGTTCCTGTCACAGTTATTATATTTCCTGTCTACATCCAGAGCAGAAAGAAATTGATGTCCTGTCTGTTGAAGCCATAGTGACCCCTCCCACACTACCATGTAAAACAGTTTTGAAGAAAAAAAACATAAATTATTTAAGCCTTTTATTATATTCTTCTGCTTCATTATTCTCATCTGTGCACTACCTTTTAGGAATATTCACCCCTTTCCAGTTCTCAGTATGTTTCCATGATAGCCATTCTCCTGCATGGTAGATATTGGGGGAAACCAAATGACAGGTCCTTGGTGTTAGTGTGTATAGATGATTTTTCAGTCTAGTATTACACACAGATGCCCTAATCCTAACCCTATTCTATATGTAGTCATTTAAGTAAGATCTTTTCCTTTTTTACCTAGTTTTGTCTATCTCTGCATGAGACATCTTGTTTCCTACAAAGGAGAGTAAATTTAAATTACACTCGATGTGGCTGCTAAATGGTCCAATGGGAGGAAAAGGTCAAACACTTTGGGGAAAGTCAAGGTCTGGCATTAACTATTCAGATGTGTGATCTTCCTACTCCCCATGCTTTCACAGTCAATTTATGTCTATGATTCTTCTCTAGTAAAATGTATTATTAATCCAATAGTTACAAAGCCTGCCTACATATCAGCCTACCTTCTCTGTGCTCACTACCAATTCCCACTGTTACAGATTTCTTTACAGTCTTAAAATGCTAGGTTTAGTCTATGACACCCAGAAGTGGCTAAATAATATGCTAGTTTTGAAAATAGTTGTTTTTATTCTTTTTCCTTATGTCTGTGTCTGTGTGTAGGTTTGTGGTCATGAAGTGCCCAAGGAGGCAAAAGGTACTGGATTTCTCTGGAGCCAGAGTTACAGGCAGTTGTTAACCACCCAACATGGGCACTGGGAACCAAACTGGGGTCCACTGTAAGAGCAGTATGTGGTATTAACAGCTGAGCCATTTCTCTAGTAATGATAAAATGCTCCTTTAATATACTTAGAGGCAATGGTCAATTGTGAGGGAAACAAATCTAGCATCACTGGGGGAAAAATAACTTCGCACATATCCAAAGTTTATTTTCAGAGAGTAAATCTCTCTTAGAAAATATGTGCCTCCAAGTGAATCTCTCATAGACGCATGGACACTCCAGAAATAGACCCAACTTTTCATTTTACCTCCGGTAAACTATGGGTTGTTTGGTGTCTTGCTTCTAAAGAAAAAAAATTACTACAATGAATACAGTAAGCTTGTTATTAGTGCACATTTGACAACATAATATTCTCCAGGTGATAAAGGTTAATACCAGCAGTCAGGTGACAATGTATCTCTGATAGTTCATAATCAAAACATCACACAGGTCCAAATTAAGGGTTAGTCTGAAAAAAAAAAAACAATTGCAAGTGTTCCTTAAAACTGTAGAGTGTGACAGACATGGAAAGTGTCATAGGCTAGAGAAGGCTCGGGATTGAAATGTTCAGAGAGAATGTTGACCTTACAGAAAAAGTACATTAAGGAAAACAAAACACCAATAACAAATAATAAAAACACCATTAATAAAATGTGGGGTTTAGGTAATTATATGCTAATATTAACTTTTAAAATATTTCTTTAAAATTTATTTACTGTATTTGTAAGTGTACCTGTGTCTTTTCATAAATTCACATGCACCATGTGGCTGCAGGAGGCCAAGGAGGCCAGGAGGCATCAGATTTCCTAGAACTGGAGTTACAGAAAATAGTTGTATAAAGTGAGGACATGCCTACTCCAAGGTATGGTTGAGAGGGAGGTTTTAATTATAGATACGAGGGAGAGTACAGCCAGAGGTATTGGGAGATAAAATAATACATTGAATTTAGTCAAACTAAACCAGGCCATGAGACGAAGCAGGAGTGGGGCAGAAAAAGAGGAAGACATGACCAAGAAACAGAGGCAAGAGAGAAGGTGCCAAGAAAGCAAAGAAAGGAAGATAAAGACCAAGAGGTGCATGGCAAAAATGGCAGGGTTATATAGAAATGAGAAACTGAGGCAAAGGGAAGCCCTTGAGCTGCAGAATGTTAGGGTTGGGAATGGGGTGAGAAGAGCTGAGAAGAGGCAGAATGCCAGCCAGCATGGACTCTGCAACAGGTCTTTGTGACTGAGAGAGCCTGGAGGCCAGGATGCTGTTTGGTATGCTAATAAGCACCACAGTTAGCTGTCACTCCCATTTCTTTTGCACCTGACAATCCAGCGTTTTTGTTTTTGTTTTTAACTGTGATAACAACATAATCGTTTCTGTCACTGCTTCTTGCTTAAAGTAGAGTGCCTGCTTGTTGGGTGCCAGGAAGGTTGGAATGCCAGTCAAAGGCCAGGAATGGAGGGAGTCAGGCAATGGCCAGAAACATCTGGTTCGTTGTTTCACTGGCTGCCCAGGTTTTGGCATATAAAAGTGAAGATATGCTGACTTCAAAGGTATAGCTGAAGGGGAGTTTTCTATTGCACATACGAAGGAGAGTACCTACAGAGGCATCTGGAACAATTCAGGACAGGGAGAGACAGTAGGACACTTAACAGGGCCAGCAGACAGGACTTGAGAGAAGGGGTGGGGTAGAAAGCAACAGAGGAAGAAAAAAATGACCAAGAGAAAACACACACACACACACACACACACACACACACACACACACACATGCATGCACACGTTCCAAAATAAAAGACAACCACAGAGTTTTCTTTATAAAGAAAGAAAACTGAGATGGAGGGTTTAAGCATTTTCTCATGATTTCATAGCTAGCAAAATCAGTGCAGAATTGGGAATAAAAGTTATTAGGCGAGAGAGTGGCAGCGATGAAAGGTCCAGGGACACAGGAAAAGGACAGTGAGTGCCCATCATCCCACATGACTTGAGGAGGGTGCATGTTCCCAGGTCTGCTGCTGCTTACACACTCAGAGTGACTTTTGGAAGAGAAGTTTTATCTCTTAAGCTGGGCATCTTTTACAGTGAATGTTAAGCATCTGAAAATCATTTTCTTTTCTCTGACAGGGTTGTATAGTGTTATAGAATGTTTCCCCTCTTTTATTAGTCAGAACTGGTGTGTGTGTGTGTGTGTGTGTGTGTGTGTGTGTGTGTGATTTAGTAGAGTGGCTTATAAGCTATGGTCTTATTAGTCCAACAATGGTTGTGTCCCTCCAAAAAGACCAAGAATGCAGTAGTTGTTCAGTCCATGAGACTGGCTCTCTCAAAAAGTCCAATCCTATGATGGAGTCTCAGATGTTTCCTAGAGAGCTGCTGGTCTTCAGTCAATATTGCAAAACAAAGAAAGAGTTTCTAACACCAGGAAAGAAATGCCTCAGCAGCAAGATAGATAGATTAACCACTGAAAGTGAGGCAAGCAAGCAGAGTACAAACGCTTCCTTCCTCCATCTCTTCTGTGGGACATGAACAGAAAGTGTCACTCAGATTGAGGGTAGGTCTTCCCACATCAAATGATCCAATCACTAAAGTCCTTTCCAGGTGTGGTAGCTGCTTGCGCTTTAGTTGATTACAGATGTGGTCAAGTTGACGGCCAAGGTTAGCCAGCACAGCTCCTCACATTTCATTTATAGGAGATTGTGTGTCAATTCCAACTCTTTTAAAGGTTTCTGATAGATCCATATAGAAGCATAAAGTTACTGATCATTTTGAGTTTGGGGATGCTATAAAGGAAGAGTCAGGATTTAAGAGATGCTGACAGGTGCAAACAATGCTCCCTTTTTGTGGGTCTTGCCACCTAAGCACAAGGCAAGGGCAGCATGAATGTGTCTCTGTGAAATTTTCTTTTGTATCATTTTCCCCTACTTCCTAGCTATAGAACAGTCTTTCTGAGACTGTTCCTTTGTATTCCCTCTTCTATACTAACACCTGAGTACTGGGCATTTTATTCAAAGGCATGACTTCACTAATTTAAGCAAATGTCACTATCAATTATTTAACAAACACAGGAGTAGAGAGGCTTTTTGCAAAAGTAAGATATATTACCACAGGCAGAAAGTATCTGTCCATCCCTTTAGTTATTATTGTATTTTAATTATTTTCTTCTAATTTCAGATCATCAGAAGAAATAAATTTCAGCCTGAAATATAAGAACAGAAACATCTATAAGAAAAAAGCACATAAACCTTGCTATCGTGAAATTATACAAAAATCAGCCAGTAAGTATTTGCTGTTGACACAGTCCTGAATGGCATTTTATAATATAATGGGAATAGGGCAAAGAGCTATGTTGTCTAGCATGAGTGTTCATTTCTTCTTAATAAATATAATGAGTGATTCTGTTATCTTCTTCTGATGAAGGAGAAGGGTAAGGCTTGGTCCTATTAAACATCACGCAAGGTTTCTAGCATACAGAGCAAACGGTGATGAGTGCTTGACTTAGCACCCTGACTCTCAAAGAAGGTCAGGTCTAGCACCATCAGCATAATGGAACACATTAAAAATGAAAATCCTACTACATCCACCCCCTTTTCCTTCCTCAAGGAAAAAAAAGAATCGGAAGCCAGGGTGGTAAGTGGTGACTCATGGTTTAATAAGCTCTCTGAGTGATAATGTGATGCATAGAAAGTTCACAATCTATAGGCATAGGGTAGGCCTTATAGAATGAGTACAGACAGCATGATAGTACAAACATAGGTCCTTTCTCTAAAGAACTATCTGCCACGGAACACAAAACCCTATCTTGAGCTAGCATCTATTGATTTCTCTTTCATTACTCATTTGTCATTTGAAACAAAATGGTTTTTTTTTCAGTTCATTTAAACCTTTGTTTTTAATGTATGACTCACACAAGTATTTCGCTTCTTCACAGGCAAAATTAGTAAAATACTACTGTGGCTTGTATTATAGTGGAATGAAAAAGTACCTGTCAATTCCAAATTTTAGATGTGTTTTTCAAAAAATCCCGAAAACATTCTCCATTTCACAAAGGATATAATTTTCTTGGAGATAAAAGAGAAATTGAAGCCTTTCCAAAGCTGTAGGATATTCATTTTCAAAGGAATATTGTAGAAAAATACACAAAATGCGAAATAAATGGAAAGGAGGCCTTGGTTCCTCTTTGTCCTTTCAACAGAAAGAACTCTGGGTTTATTTTCAGCTGTTCTTAGAGGATGTGGTAATCGCTGCAGCTGCACCAGCTGAGTAATAAGAAGGTTAAATTTTAAAAAGTGAATTTGGAATCGCATTAGCTCATTTCAGAGTTAATGACACTGTCCTTTTCTTCTCTTCCTTCCCTCAAATTTGCTGCTTGAAGGCACCTTTAGGTCCTTATGCCTTAGCACATTGAAAGAGCTTCCTGAAGTGAATCAACCTGCATTTCTTCTAGACCCCCACAAGTACTTTAAGGAAGAGCCAGAGGAAGATGAGCACCGAATTCCAGAGCTTCCTTTGCTCTCTGAAAGTAAGTCCTCAGCTGGCTTGCCGCCACCACTCTTTCTTCACACAGCTCAATCAAAGCAGAAGGAAATACAGGAGAACAGCGTGGAGACAACACAGTTGCCTTGTAGAGTTGCCATGAAACGAAGTGTTCTGTGGTTGTCAAGATTTACATCTCTGCTCTCAGTAATAAGAGACAGCAGGCTGCAGTATGTGAAATGGCTGTTTCTATTGTGTCCCTGTTCTGAAGGAAGACTGCCTTGGATACCATGAATCTGCCATAGATGAGCACCTCTCCTCCCCAAATAACCTTCATCTTCAAAACCAACACCAGGGATAGAAACAGCATGAGATACTAAAGACTTAAGAGTCTCTGGCAATCTGGCTCTGTTCTTCCCTAGTCACTATAAATAGAGGCTACTTAAAGTGCTTTGTCTCAGAGGCTCCCAGTGCAGTGTGGGGCTAATAAGAGAGGACTAGGGAGCCTCATGTGAAAAAATGCAAGTGAACGATCTCTGAGCATTTTGACGCAGCATGTGCACAAGAATGCTCTATTTTTCAGATTCTTGCAGCCATTGCCGTTTGTGAGCATTTAAAGAATAATAGCCAAACATCTTTCCCACAAAAGGAGCCTGGTGGGAATTCAAGCAACACAACCTGAAACTGAGAAGGCATATGGGCACTGTAGGGGATCTTGTTTCAAATAATTGATGAAAATGGAATGTTTTCAATGTGCGATCCTGAAAGGAACTGAGCTACATGGCAGTCGGCTGAGACTCATAGTCTCAACTTTTTCAGTGTCTGACACAGGGCTCAATATCATTCTTGAACAGTACCTTTGTAAGAGGATATTGTTTCTTATAGCCACACTCGGAGACATTTTTCAGTTATCAATGAGAACAACTGCCAATTCTTATCACTATTTCCAACCTTCCATTACCACATTGCTGGATCTTAAACTTCCCCCGTTCTAAATTTGTACTCATTTGCTTATTTTCTTGAGGTTTTTCTGCTCAATCAGTGTTCTACTCAAATTAGACCAATCTGAGTAACAAATCTTTACAGTGTATAAGTACAGAAGTACTTAAACAGAATCCTTGCTCAGCCTTGATGCAGAGGAGAGGGGTTTGGTCCTGACAATTTGATGAGCCAAGCTGTGTTGACTCCCCAAGGGAGGATTTTCCCTTTTTGAAGCGTGGATGGGGTTAGTGTGGTGGAAGGCGAGAGGAAAGGGAGGGGGGGAACTGTGGTTGCTTTGTAAATTGAATAGAAAATTAAAAAAATATTATGACTATGTGTGCTGAGAGGATGGGTCTGAGGATGAAGTATTTGCTACAGACTATATTTTGGATCTCCAGAATCCATGTAATTGTATGAGTGTGCATGGTTGCAGCCTGTAATCCTAGCACCTAAGAATTAGGGAAGTCTCAGAGAAGGGATCCTGGGTAGGGATTTGATGGAGACATCCGATTTAGGACTGAGCATTCCAAGGTCTCTCAATCTTTGCACAGTTGTAGGTCTCTATACTTGTTCCCACCTATTGCAGGAGTGTTTAGTGCCCTAGATGTGGTGCAACTTGGGAGAATGAAGCTTACAATTGAAGTGGATTAAAGTCTCATGCAATATCCAACTTTATTCAGAACATCGGACAGTTTATACTGTAGGAGCTAAGAAAGCTCAAACAAGGTAAAGTTCTTGTTCGTTCAGTTATAGATAATCACAAGGACAAGCAGCTCACAGCAAGCACCACAAACTTTCTCACAAAGCGTTGAAACAGATAACACCAGCCAACTGTAATAAATAATTTGAAGCAAACTTGTGCCTGTCTGCTATACTTGGGAGGGGTACAATAACACATTCCAAGAGCAATCCCATGTCTTTTGAAGAGACTAAGCTCATAAGACTCTTTCCTTGTTTTCTCACAATCATTCACTCTGAATTCTCTTCACTGTGGTCCAGGATATTCTTGGACCATGTTCTGACATAGTAGGAATCTTCTCTGATGATGGCTGAGGAAGACACTGATGTATGAGTATAGCAAAACATTTCTAGGGGTCATCTTATTGCTGTTTCTTTAGCAGACTTTAGTATTTTGTTTTTGTTCTATGTCCGTGGTCTATCTAGTCTCAGGCTCTTGGTCACTCCATCAGTGTCAGGCATGGGTTCCTTCTCATGGAATGGGCCTTAAATCCCATCAATAGGTGGTTGGTTACACCCAAAATGTTTGTTTTGTTTTAAATGCAGTCTTTCTATGTTGTTTTGGCTGGCCTCAAACTCCTGAACTGATATGCTTCTCCTGCCTCACTCTTCTATGTAGCTGGAACTACAGCAGTATGCTCTTGTACCTGCCATGCAGGCAATATTTGTTTATAATAGTAATTTTACAGCTCTGATCTGCTTACACTGGTTAATCTTGGGTTGTTTTCTGCTGTCTGCTTTTCTTCTTGGTTATCGATCATATTTTATGACTTCCTTGTAAGTCTTATAAAGTTTTGTTGTTCAACAGAAATTTAAAACTTTTTATAGATAACGAAGGCTATTTAGTTCTGAAGAGAGAATTGTCGTCAACTCATGTAAATAAATTTGATAGACAGGGCTGAGGCACAGTTTTCACCGGTCTTAGAGTACTTTTGATTTAGAATGCCTTAGACTTCTGCCTTTTTAAGTAGAGGAATAATGTCCTATAAATCTTGCAAGACCATAGGAAATATTTCTTTGCTTTCCCAGTCTACTGAATAGACTCCCGCCCCTACCAGTATTCAGAGAATGCAAAGGGAATATGGACCAAAGCTACTGCATTTCTTTGTATTCCAATATATTGTACCACCTTAGAGAGCTATCAGAACATTTGGAGCAAAGTATACACTTCCATCTCAAGACAGGATTTTGCTTTGTCCAAGCTGGTCTTAAGCTAACTATACTACCCAAACTGGCCTAAAAGACCTAATTCTCATATTCTTGAGTGCTGAGACTAGGTCAGGCTCAGTCATACCCAGCACAAATCTGTCTCCTAAAAATGTCCACATATGACATAAGGGAAACATTTGCCAATATCAGGTCATCTAGGAAAGGCTCCATGCTGTTTTCCCCTTTAGTTAACATGTCATCTTTGCTTCCTGTACGTGTTCTCTGATGACTATAAGAGTATTATTTGTGATTTTACTGACGTTTTCTTTTGCTTTGTATGAGAATGATGACTGTCCCCTGCCTACAAAATCCACCACAGAAACAAAATTCTTGTTGAAAAGGAGATAGGAAACTTACCCGATCATATTCATATTTTAGAAAATTTTTCAGGAACAGTGTGGAGGGTGTATGTAACGTGGCTAGATTGAAAGCAGCTTAGTATAAGAGCTGAGGTGTGTACAGTCCAGCTGTCTTCTATTCCATTTTGCCTCTCAGTGGGAACTTGCAAATGTGTGTATTACATCTCTTACTATTGGGTTTCTCATCTGTTAAGGTAATGATACCTGACTGGTGAAACTATTAAGGTTAATTACAGGACACAACAGCATATACTAATCACTTACCAAGTGGTATATTATTATTGTAAAGATGAGAAGATTCTGGAGAATAACTAATTTGAAAGTCTTTAACGCTGAATGAGAAGGACCACATGCCCTGATCAAAGACATAGAGCTGTTGGATTACTATGCCAAAGCAAAAGATCTTCACTGAGAGAAGAAATTCAGATGAAGGTGGTTCTATTTGGGAAATGTCAGTTTCAGGATTTGCTGAGAGGGAAGTGTCTGTGGGCCATCTAGGAAGGAAACTGGCCTTGGTAGGAAGGAAAGAGAAAGCTTTGAGGACTAAATGGCATCACAGTTAAGACACACATATTTTAGAATTAAAGTTTAGCTTTTTTCATCTAATTTTTAAGTGCAATATGTGGACATTCCAGCAACATGGGCTTTTAGAAATGGAACACTGGGGGATACAAGAAGGAGGCCTTCAGGCTCGGAGTCATTACCCCCAGGAAACTATGAAGCAGTAACTTTTTTAGGGAAGAATTTCCATTTATAAAGCTTAAAATGGGGAAACAACAGTGAATATTACTTGACATCTGTGCTATAAGAGGCATTTTTTCCAGGTACTGTCAACATTCTAGACTATTACTTCGGAACACGGGGCACTTTCAAACACTTCTTAATCCCCTGGTGGCTTTTCAGTTTTAGCTATTGCACTCTTTAGTATCTGTTTGTATTCTCCATCTTTCTTTTTCAACTTGAAACATCCTGTGTTCCCTCTCTTTCGCTTCCAAGTTGTTCCCAGTGGGTTCTCATTCCCCTTTTATATGCTGTATTCCTAGTGCTTAAAGTAGCGCAGGCTCAAGTTTACCGGTAAACCCCCCAAAACCATTCATACATACTCTATGAATCCTTAAAATTTCCATTGTAGAGAGTGTGTTGTATTAGGGATACTTTAGGCAAAATGGGTTTTATAATTATTGTTGTCCTTCAAGACAAATTACGAGGAATTATTAAAGAGATGATTGTATTCAGGCTGTTGTCATAGGGAGGACTCTCATTGAAGAGGGTCAACTCAGAGGATGGGAAGGAGGCCTGTGTCTTTGCACAAGTGAAGACATCATCTTTGAAAACAATGTGAGTCTTTGAAAACAATGAAGATGGATAGAGAGGGTTGTGTCTCAGTAACATGAGAGCAGTTTGGGTCTTTTGTGATTAATTGTTTCTGGAGCACAAGAGAGCGATGGGAATTCTTCCTCATTTCTACTTCACAAAAGCTCAGTCTCAGATAAATGTGAGTGTTGTCAGGCTCTGTTTTGTGGATAACCAGTGAGTGTCAGTTACTGCTGAACAAGCCCTGAGAGGCCAGAAACCTAGACACAGCAAAGAAAGATCTCCCAGGAAGCTTTGCTGGCAAAGCTCCTGCAAAAGTTGTTGAGCCACAAGTTTCGAGGTGACAGCTTTGGATGGCTGAAGAAGCTCCCAGGATAAGTGGATCGTCGCAAAGGAACCTAGAGTTTGGCAGGTCTGGGCTATTGAGATTTAGCTCCTAGTGATG